CTGCTATGGTAAATAGTGAATTGTGAGTTTCATAATAAATGAGTGAATTTTTTCTTTGGGCACTGGATCTGCGGACAGTCCGGTGCCCAGCACATTTGTATACTTGGGAGATGTCGGATTATTATACGGATTGATCCACGCTCGTTACATCATGACGAAAGAAGGTCTCACAAAAATGTATAAAAAATGGCAGAACAGAGATTTTGGTACTTGCCCACGTTTTTACTGCGAAAAACAACCGACACTTCCCATAGGTAAGTGAATTCTGCGGTTTTTTTTTTGTCCGCCGTTTCTTTACTACATCTCTTCTTTTCCTCCCTGCATTTTTACCACCCTTTTGTTAGACGCCAAAAAATTGGCCTAGAAATGACATTTCGAGCGAACATAGCTAGACAGAAACACATTGCTTTCCGGGAGTTACACAGACGATATGTCAAAATTACCAAAACCTTCTGAGCTGTAATGCCGATATCCCATGCTAGTGATCCTCCTGGATGCTAGGCGCTACTTTGCGAGGTTCTTCGATCGCATTCTTCCAGCTCGTATTCGTCACCTGTTCGATTTATGTCCACCACCTCTTCGGGGATCCCCAGAGTGGTTGTTTACTTTCTCGCAGGTAACACTTAATAACTGCAGCGCCAGGAGGTTTTCGACAAATTCCTGTATACTGCATTTCCTGTATCCTGTTTGGTGCATAAAAAATTTCACTAATATCTGCATAAAATGTTGATTCGGCTGTATTTTCAAAGTTCCTGGGCAATGTATAATCTCCTGCAAATCAGGCTTGACGGATAAGCTAAGTAAGCGACCGGTGATGCTTTATTGCCCACGCTGCGCCGATGTGTTTTACCCAAAATCGTCGGAACTTGATCGCATCGATGGTGCTTATTTTGGTACTGGCTTTCCGCACATGTTCTTTTTAACTTTTCCAATGCTGCGACCAAGACCACCTACGAAAGAATATGTTCCGCGGTATGGTTTTTTATTTTTATAAATTTGATGAGAACTTTCCAGGAGTCTGAAATGATTAATGGTCAAATGACATGTTGTCTTTTTACCGATTACTGCCAGCACACAAAGCACTCTGTAGTGCTCTGTTTCAGAGTTTGTGAGAAAGCATTCTGGGGATATTTCTGGTTCCGGATTTCTAGACGCGAATCCTAATTTCCTAGCAGCATGAGTCTCAGAATTATGCATACCGTGCTGATTGGATCTGACTACTTCCTAATGAAGCAACGATTTATGGGCGGTCAGAGTCGGAGTCAAAAATTTCCTCGTATTTAC